CAGTAAATGTCGATTCATCACTTCCAAGGAAGCGAGTTCCCAAGAGGTGAACAGTGCCCAGCCCTGCTCAGGAGCCACAGAGGAGCTGCAAAGCCGTTCCCTTACTGCGTGATTCTGCACAGGGTTTTTGAATTTTGAATCTGAATGTTTAGGAAGGGCGTGCCTGCTCCAGTCCTCAAGACCCCTATTGCTTTTGTCTAACCTGCTTCTCTCATTCATTTAATTTTCTGCAGCCTGGCAGCATTTTTGCTTGCAGCCCCTAGAGTGGGAAGCAGTGGTGGTAATAATAAATACAGTGTAATCGAATGCTCTGTGGGTTAGAATAATCTAACCCATATGGTATATGGTGATGGATAAAAACTAGACTACTGGTGGCAAACGTGATGCAGTCTATATGGAAACTGATACAGAATAATATATGCCTGAAATTTACACAATGTTATAAGCCAATATGACCTCAATAAAATAGTTTTTTTTAAATGTTTAAAAAGTACTTATAAAACATAATTGTTAGTAGACGCTGTTTCACGTGGCAGGCCACTGGGATGATTTTCTTTTCCTTTTTTCTCCACCTCTTTCTTTTCTTCCCTTTCTCTCTCTCTCCATCTCCCTCTGCCCACCTCTCCTTTCCTCCCTGCCTCCCGCCTTTTTTTCCTCTCTTTTGTACATTCCAAATTTTAATGTTTATATGTATAATTAAAAAATTAAGAAAAAAACTTTTGAAAACACTAAAAAATAAAGTAAAGAACCTGTATGGTTTGGTCCTTGTTACAGGGGGCTGTCTCGTGCTCTGTAGGATGTTTAGCAGTGTCTCTGGCCTCCACTTACTAGATGCCAGTAGCCTCCCCTCCTCCTCCCTACAGCGGGTAAACTCTTCCCCAGTTGAGAACCACTGGTCTATGTGAAAGCATAGGGATGTGCAAAAGAGCGATAGGCAATGTGTTTCATGATGCAGGCATTGGGGCTAGATCAAGAATGGTCTTAGATACCATGCAAAGATGTTTAGGTTTTATCCTTTGGACAACAAGAAACTATTAGAGCATGAGACATCATCAAGCAGATCTTACATATTTGCCATCAGATATCTCCATGTGCAGGATAGATTGGAGGGGGAAAGCACTGAGGAAGGGAGACTAGTTTGGATCAAGGCCCTAAAATGTGACAGAATACAGGGGAGGGGAGGGGACAGGTTTGAGAAGTAGAGTTGACGGGACCTAACCGCCAGCTGGGAAGGGAAGAGAGGAGCTCAGGATGACATGTTTGTGCTGGAGTGGCTGGGGATTGACATTAATTAAAAGAGGAAATATAGGAGGAGGGACCAGTTTGAGGGAGAGCATACTGGGTTTCATTTTAGGGTGTGCTCCATGTGAGATGCCTACAGGACAACCAGCTGGAGCTGGACAGGAGGCAGCTAGAGGTCTGGGGCTGAGGCTCTGAAGAGAGATGCCGATTGAGGAGTTAGTGGCTCTTACTTGGTTGTTGTTGCTATGGACGTAGAGGGGATAACCCAGGGAGGAGGAGAGAAGAGGGAAATGCTGGTGTCCCTTAATAGCCCACCAGATGGAGGAGGGAAGTCAAGGATGGAGACTGAGAAGAGCTGGTTGGAGAGCTGGAGGCAGCTCTCTCCACCAGAGGCTTGTGGTCTAATTGGACAGATTCAACAGCTAAGAAACAGTTGTGTGTTCCGGACTGAAAAAGTATGATGGGATCAGTATGTGCTGCCAAGGTTGAGTGAGGTGAGGGATGTATGACCTCTAAGAGGGCTTTGTGGAGAAAAAGAATGGACTGCAGCTGCAGAGAGCTTTCTCAAGGGTGTTCGTGAACCCTCTGCATTGATGGCAGAAGTTGGAAGGGGGCCACATCTCCATATATCCAGGCCAGGGCTCTCCCTGCTTGCACGAGCTGCAGGGTGTTCCCCATCTGCATTGACATTATCTTCTCCTATCACAGAATATGCAAACAAACTGAACGCCTTGTTTGCTTTCATAACTTTCTATGAGTTATTTTTGACCAGGGATTGGGGAAAAGAGAGAAGGAAACTTTAGTGATTCCTGTTGTTTTCAAGTCGTTTATGAATTTTGTCTTATGCCAAGTAGTAGTCTCCACTTTGTGCTTTAATAATATGAAGCATGAGAGCCATAGAACTGGCCCATGGGAAATTGTAAAGAAAATCCAGGTTCTACTGGCTTTTAAAAAATATATATAATATAGGGGCTGGCTCCGTGGCCAGGTGGTTAAGTTCGCACACTGTGCTTTGGCGGCCTGGGGTGTGCCGGTTCATGTCCTGGGTGTGGACCTACACACTGCTTATCAGGCCATGCTGTGGCAGCATCCCACATAGAAGAACTAGAATGACTTATAACTAGGATATACAACTGTGTGCTGGGGCTTTAGGGATAAAAAAAAAAAAGAAGATGATTGGCAACAGATGTTAGCTCAGGGCCAATCTCTCTCACACTTACGTGCACACACACACATATATTATTTTAATTTATTTATTATATTATATATTATATGTATATATAAAATTGACCATTTTAACCATTTTTGAGTGTACAGTTGTGTGGCGTTAAGTATATTCACATTGTTGTGCTGCCATCATCACTATCCATCTCCAGAACATCTTTTATCTTGCAAAACTAAAACTCTGTACCCATTAAATAATAACTGGCCACTTTCCTCTCCTCTAGCCCCTGGCAGCCGCCATTCTACTTTCTGTCTCTGTGAATCTGACTATTCTTAGGTACCTCAAATAAGGGGAATCATACAACATTTGTCTTTTTGTGCCTGGTTTGTTTCATTGAGCATGATGTCCTCTAGGGTCATGCCTGTTGTAGCGTGTATCAGAATTCCCTTCCTTGGTAAGGCTGAATAGTATTCCATTGTATGTATGTACCACATTTTGTTTATCCGTTCAGCTGTCAACGGACACTTACGTTGCTTCCACATTTTGGGTATTCCTGCTGTGAACGTGGTTGTGAAATAGCTGTTTGTGTCCCTGCTTTCAGTTCTTTTGGGTCTGTGCCCCGAAGTGTCCATTGGCTTTTGTGGTGGTGTTGATCCCTTTCTCTGCTGGGGTTTGCTGGAATCACTCCCTAGCTCCCTGTCCTTCTGATGCTTCCTTTGTTACTCTTCTGCTTTTGCTCGTAGGAGACTCTTAGGTGTGTCCCTAGGCTGGGCTTTGTGACCAGCTGGAGAGCCATTACTGAGCGCCTGCCTGTAGGTCTGGGCCATGAAGATCCACATCTTGTCCACCTAGCGCTGTCCTAGAATTTGAATCGGGAAGATCCAGGTTCTAATACTGTACTTCCACTAGTGTGCCCTGACCTTGGCAAGTTTTCTCCCCTCTCTCTCGGCGTCTGTTTCCACATCTTGGCAATGAGAAGTAGAACTAAGCGATCCTTAGGGTCCCTCCCGGATCACAGAGAGGATGGGCACAGTAGTCTTCCAGGCCCAGGAACCAAGGTGGGTGAGAAAAACGCAGAGATTCAGACTCCACACATGGGCAGTCTGACCAGAAACTTCAGGTTTCATCGGCCCTGAAACCTTGGATGGTTAGATGTGTCTAATGGCTTGTGTACTTGCTGCGTTCTGGTACATACCACAGGGCTAGTCTTGTGAGTAAGTGTAACCGCAATTCCCTTTAAAGCAAAATTATATGTTATATATTATCCACCCTTTGTTGAGAGACTGGGACAAAGAGAGGTGGAATAACTGGTTTCACCATAGATTTTTGGCAGATGTCACAAACTAATACTGGAGAGAATATTCAATGGGCAAATTTACCTCTGATTAAGACTGTAGTTGGGTCATGGGCCAAGAAAATTTTAACCCTCCTTTTTTCCTACTTCTTTAAAAAAAAAATTTAAAGAACAGACTTCTTTGTCCTTTGCTTAAACTCAGAGCAGGTCCACTCTCCCTGAACTGGGAAAGTGAGTCCCAGAGGTCACCCACATGATCAACTTTCAGACCTCTGAACCGCACCTGAAAGTTTGCACTGGTCTGGGGTTTCCTGCTTGGGCTTGGAGACTGGGCACGAATCCTACTGTCAGTTCTCCCTCTGCCACACCAGCGAGCATCCTTTGTACACCACTGACCCTGTCTTTTCTTTGTGTCATCTGTCAAACTGTCCAATGGGGAACTGTAAAGAAAAAACTTGCCTGTTTTTTCCAAGGCTGTGGTGTTAGGGTGTTAGGATGACTGGAACCCATTTGGAGCATGTGTGGAAGTGTATAGCATTTTCTTTTTTAGGAGACATTTTAACCATCTAATTAAAAAAATGAAGAAACAAATTTTCTTTCAGTCTGGCTACTAAGTTGTTAGTTTTATAAATATACGAAAAATTAAAAAACAATTTTGAAGATTGAAGAACTGCCCATGGGGACTGGGACTGGCTTATAACAATATGGGGGAAATCCAGATAGGAAAAAACTCTAAATGAATACATTAAAAAAACATTAATCCTTGGGGCCTGCCCCGTGGCCAAGTGGTTAAGTTCATTTCATGCGCTCCGCTGTAGGCAGCCCAGTGTTTCGTCAGTTCGAATCCTAGGCGTGGACATGGCACCACTCATCAAGCCACGTTGAGGCGGCGTCCCACATGCCACAACTAGAAGGACCCACAACGAAGAATATACAGCTATGTACTTGGGGGCTTTGGGGAGAAAAAGAAAAAAAATTAAAAATCTTTAAAAAAAAAAAAAAAAATTAATCCTAAGACCTAATAGTCCTTCTGGGTTTTCCAGAAGCTCAACCTAAGAATGACTGTAAATGAGCAGAGGACGTTTGCTCCTCTTTCATTCCTGGCAAGTTGTAGCTGCTAAAGGACTGTCAGTATTATTATTGTTATTGTTATTATTTTTGGTGAGGAAGATTGGCCCTGTGCTGATATCTGTGCCAGTCTTCCTCTATTTTGTATGTGGGTCGTCCTCACAGCATGGCTTGATGAGTGGTGTGTAGGTTTGTGCCTGGGATCCAAACCTGCAAACCCCAGACTGCCAACGCGGAGTGTGCAAACTTAACTATGCCACCGGGCCAGCTCCAGGACTGTCAGTATCTTCAAAACAAGACATTATTGCCATTTAAATAGTTCGTGTAAATTTTCATACCTATTTTGAAGACCTTGGGGTTTTCAGGACCTGTGTTTCTGGTTGATGAATCATGAGAGAACCCCTTTTGCTCCAACTGCAAAATAAGGGGAATTTTACACATAGTGGAAATCACGATATATGTGTGTTAGTTTGGGGGAACCTATTTTTAAAATTCTATTTCCTGATAATCTTAGAGGGAAAGATCAAATCGTCTTTGTAGTTGCTGACATTCTAGCACAGGTGAGTGTACTCAAGGGCCGGCTGATGATTGCTTTTGTTATTAGAGGTCTGGGATGGAAGATGGATTAGGAAAGTTGTAGATATGGGGGTCATCGTAATAAGTAGCCTTTTACTTACCAATGGGCTTCTTTACAAAATTACTTAAAGTCGCAATTTTTATTCCCATTTGAATGCAATAAGAAACCTGACCCTTGAATAAGTGCAAAGTAAAACATTTAATTCATTGTGAAGTGTTAGGTCACTGGGTGGAAGGTTTCTTGACTGATCGATCATCCTGGCTTCACATTTTTGGTTGTACATGAAATACATATTTTGATATATTTTTGATTGTCTCATGCCTGAAATCTTCAGTTTACCGCAGTGGACTGTGGTGGTATCCGTATAACGAAGCTGTTGTGACCCCATCCCCAAGGTGCATGTCCTTTGCTGATGGAAGAGCTTATCTGCAGATACCTGCAGGAGGAAACCACGGTTGACTTCTGCCAGGATTGGATTTACCCCGTACACACAGAAAATTAAAGCCTTTTTTAGCAGCACGGTTCCAATACGCTGGCAGGGCAAGGGTGGGTTCCTTCTCTTAGAAACACAGTTTAGTGGGATGCACTCATAAATGAAAAATGATCTGAGTGCTGTGGGTGGGGCCCTCGAGCCCAGGAGGTGAAGCCGGGAGGAGGAGAGAGAGAGAGAATCTGCTCTAGGCTCGGTGGAGCGTGAGGAGCTGGCAGGAAGTCGGAGCACGCACTGGCATGGCTCACGTTTTTGTTGATAGTTACTAACCAAGACTTTAAAGAACTGAATGGAGAGGGGAAATGAAGCACAACAAACTTTGGAGTCTGTCTTCTTCAGGCGGCTGTGAAGCGCAGTGGAAAACACTCACCTGATCAGCTCCTGAAGCAGGTAGGAAGGGGGACCTGAGTGGCGAAGAGAATCGTATTTTTTCTGAGTACAACTTATATCTTCCGAAGATTAATTTTTTTAAAAAAGTATATGAGAAATGAGTAGATAATATTGACATAAGAAACAGACTTAATCTGAATTATGCTGATATCTGCCCAAGGAAGAATTTTCCTCAGCATCTAGATTGATGACCAAATGACAGTCCTATTCTGGGGGTCGCTTTAAAAAAAAATCACCCAAAATCATGCAGCATTCAAGTTAAAACTGATTTAAAAATTGGCAGATGATAAATGAACTGCAGACGCTGTTTTAGAACAAATACTTTGAAGATAGTCAACCAGAAACTGATTTTCAGGCTTGACCGTTGCTGTATTTCCATATTTCAGCACCAACAAGGTGCTTGCTAATTTTCACTGGCTTTTGTAAGAAAGGAGGTGGATGTATAACAGCTGTGAAATATCCAGAAATTGACTGGGATCCAGAGTGAAGCCTGAATGCACTAATGTTTCCTCCATTAAGAAGGTACCTCTGCTCAGCTTCTAAGTCAGAGAATTGGAAAAGTGAAGTGTGCATCCTGATTATCTGTCACAGAGGGCTAGGGACAGAGGTTTGGAAATGGCCACAGCGATGTCTTCACGCTCAGAAGTAGAAAATAAACAGGGGAGGGGGGCATGGGTTGCAGCCACACTCGAGGATAATTTAAAAGCTCGTTTGTGGTTCCCGTGGTTGTAGCTGAGCCTGAGTGTCCTTTCTGTTGTCAAGATTTGTGATAAGAGAAGCAGAACAGAACAGACTATCTCAAGCCTGGGTTTCTAAGCATTTCCAAGCCTTGCTTCTGATAGGCGCCTGGATAATTTGACGTGAATTCCCCCGCCCCCGCCCCGCCGCCCCAGAATGAAGTGGTTAGAGTGTTGTGGAACTGAGCTGACATAGGGTAAGTTGGAAATAGTGCATGTGGTCAGCGTGACAGTAGCATCAGAATTAGGTGGAGAACTTTATTTTAGTTGAATAGTCCAGCCTAAATACTGGCACTCTTTGGTTTGAGCCTCTGAGAATGCCGTATTAGCCACAGGGGTGTGTCTGAGAAGGCAGATATGGGGGCTGCTTGCTTACTGCTTACTGGCTGGCTCTCATCCTCATGCTGCGGTGGCCAAGTTTTGTAGCTTTGCATTTTAGGCCTGGAGGGCTGGGAGATGGCTGTGCTTAGTCAAGGCAAGCCCATACCTTATCACTAGTCTTTTTCTCTCTGTGACTTCTCAGCCTTCTACAGCTACACCCATTGTATGGGGAGGGGGAACAGCCCCTCCTGTGGTCTTTCAGGAACCCTCTCCACCACCCCCAACTCCTGTTCTGTCTTGCCTACTGGCTATCTGTTGGGTAAGTCCCCTTTGTCTCCCATCCTTCATGCTGGTCTGTCCCAGGTGCTTCTGCCATGAATTAAGCTGAGCTAGGGGACAGGCTCCTTTCCACGGTCCATTCTGGAAGTAGTCAGAGGTCAGCAAACTGTCCCGCGGGCCAAATCCAGCCTACCTCAGCCTGTTTTTGTAGGGCTCTGGAGTGAAGAGTGGGTTTTACATTTTAAAGGTTGAAAAAACGAAGAATACAGGAGAGAGACTGATGTGGCCTGCAAAGCCTAAATTATTTACTGTCTGATCCTTTGGAGGAAATGTTTTCTGATCCCTGATTTTTAACATGATTCGTGAACAGCATCATCTGTGGGCTGATGCACCTCAGTAAGTCCTCAGCAGTTTGAATGGACTGTTGTTTTGGAAACCAATTTTAGTTTTTCTGTCTGTATTAGATGGCATTATTGCCTCCAGAAGGGTAGATTCAGGAGAAAGGAAGTTGAGGGTTTTCTGCAGGGTCCAAACAATGGGAAAGAAATATCAGATGCGCTACGCACCCACGGTTGGCTTTTCCCCCTCGCCCCTTGTTGGTAGAACTGCTGGTGGAGATACCCACGAGACCTACCATGTGTTGATGGTGTCCCCTGCTGCAAGAACTTCTTGGGGACCAAAATTCTGCTGACTTGCACAGAAATGATTCACTTCCTTGTTTCTCTTTGGCACACTGAATGTTGGCCAGAATTCTACAGTCTTAGTTGTTTGGTGTTGCTACTTTGGAAAAAAAGATGTTTTCTATAATTAAAAAAAAGGTGGTTAAGTGAATATCATGTTTTGTCATATTTAGAACAGTGTTTCTTTATTGCTAAGAAAGCTTACTCTAGCCCCAGCAGTCTTACCCTAAACCTGCAATTCTCCTGGACCTAATACAGTATTTCATTGTTAATATCATTTCTAATAAGGGAAGAGGGAAATCGGGTGACCTTTCTCACATTTAACTTGTGTCAAAACTGTAGGCCTGGATATGGAGCTGACTTCCGTAAGTAGCTTATTGTCCGTTGCAGGACCAGAAAAGTTTCTCACAGGGAGATCGTAGTTTAAGAAGAAAAATAAAATGGCTGGTACACTTTTTTTTTTGTCTCCAAGACATTTTAGCCATCAATCATCTTGTATTTGGAAATCGGATGCTGTCAGTAGAGAAGAATGGGGATGGGGCCTAGTTTGACAAATGAAAACAAGTGAAGAAGGTTGAAAGTATGTACAGTATGGTGCCCCGTGGGAGTTCGAGCCTGGAAAACAAGATGGCGGCAATACACTTGACAAGTCAGGTTGTGAGAGCTGGCAAGGGAACGTCCTGTAATCTACCAGGTGAGCCAGGCAGTCCCTTTGTCTGTATTTAGAAAGGGATTGGCTCTGAATTTAGAGATTAAGCAACCTGCTATTCCTGTATGCACTGGAATTTGAGACACAGTCAGAAACCTGATTTGCGTAACTGCTGAAACTCAATTGGAAGCCAAGCAGACTGAGGCCTGGACTCCCCAAGTGAGGGGCAGTTGGAATCACAGCACGCGAGGGAATTTATCACGCTTGTCCAAGAGGGTATGGTGCGGTTTGGCCAGACTCAGTGGTGCAGGCTCTGGAGTGAAGGGTCAACTTTGGCTTCCCCGAAGGCCATGATCAGAGGGTGAGTAACCTCTTCCTCTTTGAGTTGGCAGTATGTATCTCAGAGCTGTGGGACTACCTGCTATCTCAAGAAAGCACGAGGGACCTTTTTGCTTCTCAGCCGTGAGACCAAACTGGCTCATAAAGAGAGAGAAACGGCCAAGCAGTTGAAGTCTGATCATGAGCTAAAGTGGAGCACACGCCATGAGCAGCCCTTAATTAGCCAACTCATTTCTAGAATGTTGGGAGGGCTAAGTGTTTCAGCTCAAAGCTGGAGCATCTGTCCCCTCCCTCTGGCCATCTGAACAGCTGGAATCTGACTTCTGTTCATCAGCTTTTTCCTGATTGTGAATGGGATAAAAGACCAAGCTAGGTGGGTGCCTATGTGTGCAAAAGTGTGTAAACCAAGAGAAGAGGAACAGCCAATCAAAGACAAATTAGGATCGTGAGTTAGAGAAAACTTGTGACCGCAAGTCCACGAAAGGGAATCAATAAATCTACATCTCAGTGGCTGGCAGGGATCCCTTTGTGTGGCTCTGTGTTCACTTACCAGTTGTGTCCCTCTTAAGAACTTCTGTAGGCAATGCGTCCTCTCACTTCCAAACATGATTTCTCTGCCTTTCCTGCAGTGGGGTCCAGGGATAGTACAAAATTCCTCTCGCCTTGGAGCTCCCAACTGGAACTCGCCTTTTCCTCAGTGGCTGGGGAACAAGATGACAGCATTCCTCCTACATGGACGTGGCACCTGCTGCACTTAGCAGAGGAGGCAGAGTGCACCCCACTAAGAGATCTTCCAATGGCTTTGCTGTCCCTGTGAGCACATCAGCCCCAGGTCGCCTTGGTTGGTTAAATTCAGGTGTGTGGTGTGTGTGAGCGTGCACCCACAGATGGACTACGACTCCACAGACGGACTCAGTAGGGCAGGGCGTGAGCTGGCAGTCCTGGCTTAGATACAAGGTCCCTGCGTAATAAGGCGGGCCATAACAGCAATGGCCTGGAGGTCTAAATCTGCGTCCTCTTTTGTGATCTCTTCCTGAAGAAGCAGTACAACTATATTTCACATGCACCAGAGGAACTCAGCACTTAGAGGGACCGAAAGTGACTCCTGTGGTAAAAGAGAAAGATCACCCCACAGTTTGTATTTTTGGTAATTTTGAGGATTCCAGGCTATCAGGCTTAAAGCAAGACACGCTTGGCCCATCTTCTATGCCTTTCTAATTTCCACACTATTGTTCGCCCCAAATTAGAAGACGGAAACCAAGTTGGAAATTGGCGGAGTAGGGCGAGTGTGAGGAAAGGCCAGGGTGGCCCTTGAGAATCAGTTTGGTCAAAAGCTTCTATTTCGGTGAGACTCCTCAGACTACGGGGGCAAAACGACACTTGCAGATTACTCCCTTAAAGGGTAGATAGATAACCTTCTGTTTGTACGTTATGTTTTCCTAAGCCTTGCTCTTTTAGCAAAGACTTAAATATTCTTATCAGCCTCCTCTACCCAGGCCAGGGGTGCCTGAGAGGGAAGTCAAAGCCAGCATACTTGACCTCCGTTTGAATGGCATGAATCTTGGGATTCATCATGGTGCTCTTGATGGAACAGCTACCCTTTACTCTTTCTGGCCTTTTGCTCCTGTTTCTGCCCCTTTGGCAAAAGTATTCTTATTTTCCCCTCTGGCTGGCTCCTTCAGCAAGAGCAGGCTCTGCCTTCCAAGGAACCCCGTCTTAGACTTGCCAAATTCCACCCTCGTCTTCAGCTTGCAACACTTTGACTTAAGTTCCCAGACGGCTGCCTGTGGGGTAGAGGGTTGATTGTTGGCAGTGAGCTGCTGGCTTTGGAAAACATCACAGGTATTTTATTGTAGCAGATGCAAGACAGTTTTGGCGGGGGAGCAATAAAGACCTGGAGGGGGAACAGAAAATTACCTCTAAGTGCTGCAGGGAGGAAGGTGGCAGAAATGGAAGGGTGCAGTTTGGGTTTGTGAAGCTGAGTCCTTTGCACAA